TTAATGTAGTTCAATGGTTTATATCAGTGTAGTTCATTTTATACCAAATTGGGATTTTTTATTTTATTTTTTTTATTTGTGGTTTTTAAAGTGCTCCCAGAAGTTATCACGGTCTTATCACAGAGCAGCGGGGAAGAACATTTAACTTTTTAAAGTTAAATGCTTCGCGCAAAAGCATTTAAAAGTTTTAATTTTCACGCCTCACTTTCTTACCAATGTTGCTTATTGGGCTACAGCCGGCGTCGAATCTTGGACCTCTTGGTTCTGAGCCAGAACTCTACGCATTTCGTCACAGGTGCGCTTGATTTTTGACAAAGTTTTCATCGCAACAAGAATTTTTTCGTTTTCTAAACGGTCTACTCTTTAGAACGTTTCAAAGACGTTTTAAAAATGTTTAAACTATGTTCAGAACGTCGCTTTTAAAAACAAATGCTGTTGGATTAAACTGATGTACTGTAGGCAACTATGTTATATGTTAATGTTATACCCTGTATAACTAATAAGCCGAAATTTCTTTCCTTCAAGTCTGTTAGTTGTATGTGGCATAACACAGCTTGTTACATAAGGCATATTACATGGTGTCTGGAGAAAAGTGAGAGCCATGAAGTTTGTTATCCCGCAATAATGTTAACAACCGGCGCATTGCTCAATCAACTGCCACTTCTGAATCGCTGATCCTACATTAAAAAGCTCAGGAACGAAGACTTCAAAACGGTTTCGTTCAACACAGAACAACACAAAAACTTTTTCTGATCAATTTTGTTGCAGTTGTTCAAGCTTCCTGAACAACTGCAACAAAAGTAAGGGTAAGGAATTCCTGGTTACAAGGCTGATTACTATGTGGTGTTTAAATTCTCATAAAAAATTACGTATTAATAGACTGAAGAATGTCACTTAAAGTCCGTATTCTTATTACTCAACTTGATAAGTTCAAGAAGAACATGGGAGCTTACTTAAAGAAGAAAGGCGAGCACTTTTATCAAGATAATATCTTAATAAAGCTGCTCACCTTGCGCCTCTGAGTAAACTCCCAAGTTATCCTTAAATTTATAATATATTTGAACACGCAAACAAATGTATATATATATATATATATATATATATATATAATATATATATATATATATATATATATATATATATATATATATATATATATATATATATATATATATATATATATATATATATATATATATGTTTATATATATATATATATATATATATATATATATATATATATATATATAATTTAAATGAAAAAAATACAACTTTTTATGGAACTATTAGTTTCATGCCATTCGGCAATCACTCAGCCATATTATTCAAAATTTACAAAATAAAAAACCGTTAAAAAATACAATTTTTTAGCGTTGCAATGGTATCTGACGTCAAGTTTACGTCAGACGGTATCATGGGTTCCTAATCTCCGGTATCGAATTGTGAAAGCAGAAATTTTTTTCTATGCTTGCAAGAAGAAACCAACTCACTTTTTTTATTAAGTAATAATCCTTGATCATAAGTCATAATTATTTATTTTTTAATATAAATAAAGATTACATCTTTTAGTTGATGGATTATATGATTGAAACTTTTTAATAATGTTCAACTTGATTAACGGCATAATGCCTGCATTTTTATTTTTCCATACTTCTTTAGAAAGTTCTGTATCGTTTTCGTATCTAGTAGCGTTAAATGATTTTAAATGGTTTGCAAACCTAAGGTTGAATGAGCCTTTACTGATACCAATATATAACTTTTCGGAATTACTAGGGTTAGCTAAAGATATAGTGCAGCTTTATGCACGACATTTTTAGATAAGCATTGATTATTTAAAGGGCATGAAGGTTTATAAATACAGTTGCAGTTGGTGACACAAGCAGTGGGTTTGTTGCGTAATATTTTTTGGTTGTGTGAATTAATTATTGATCCAACACTCGGCATGCAGCTGTAACTAATTTTGATTGTATTTCTGTTAAATATCTTGTGGAACTTATGATGGAGAGGAAAATGCAAGTTGATTAACTTAAGAAAAACGTACTATCAGGTTTGCGGTATGGTTGGAAACTACTGTTGTTAAGGTTCAATGTTACATCTAATTAACAATTTTCATATTAGATTGGATAGAAATACTAAGGCTGTTTTGCTTAAATATTTGCGTGAAATGTTTCTTTTTCTCCATTTTAGGACCGCTTGCATTTTTGAACACAGCTTCCTCTCCATCATAAGTTCCACAAGATATTTAACTGAAATACAATCAAAATTAGTTACAGCTGCATGCCGAGTGTTGGATCAATAATTAATTCACACAACCAAAAAATATTACGCAACAAACCCACTGCTTGTGTCAACAACTGCAACTGTATTTATAAACCTTCATGCCCTTTAAATAATCAATGCTTATCTAAAAATATCGTGCATGAAGCCACTATATCTTTAGCTAACCCTAGTAATTCCGAAAAGTTATATATTGGTATCATTAAAGGCTCATTCAAGCTTAGGTTTGCAAACCATTTAAAATCATTTAACGCTACTAGATACAAAAACGATACAGAACTTTCTAAAGAAATATGGAAACATAAAAATGCAGGCATTATGCCGTTAATCAAGTTGAACATTATTAAAAAGTTTCAATCATATAATCCATCAACTAAAAGATGTAATCTTTGTTTATATGAAAAATAAATAATTATGACTTATGATCAAGGATCATTACTTAATAAAAAAAGTGAGTTGGTTTCTTCTTGCAGGCATAGAAAAAAATTTCTGCTTTCACAATTATATAACGGAGATTAGGAGCTCATGAAATCGTCTGACGTAAACTTGACGTCAGATACCATTGCAACGCTAAAAAATTGTATTTTTTAACGGTTTTTTATTTTGTAAATTTTGAATAATATGGCCAAATGGCATGAAACTAATAGTTCCATAAAAAGTTGTACTTTTTTCATATATATATATATATATATATATATATATATATATATATATATATATATATATATATATATATATATATATATACACAAATTATTAACAATGAGCAGCATCAGGCACAGCTATACTGATAGTCATCGGTGCTCGTGGACATCTGTCATACAAGTATCAAAGTTTAAAAACAAATTATAAGGAGTTTATTTTATGTTATCTCTTTTAACTTAATAAAATTTTCATCAAGCCGGTTTTGAACATGTTAACCAAAGTTGCATGGATTACTATTGACGGTAGGGTATTACACTGGGATATAAAACGATTCGTAAGAAATTCTCTCTGCTTGCAATTCTATACTCTTTGCTGCGCTAGTTGTTGACTGTGACATCGCATACTGTGCTTTGATGCTGGCGAAGGACTCAATTAATCGTGGAAATTTATTTTATCAATTTCGTACATGAACTTGAAGATCTGAGTAAAATCACCTCATATTTTTCTGTTTTCGAGTATTGTGAGGCCTAAAATGAATCTTTGCTGCTTAATTAATTTAAACATCGATATAAATTATAATCGCCGCCGTGGTCCAATTTTTTAATAATAAATTAAGCATTGTGACCAAGTATGGTGACCATGCTTGAATAGCGTACTCAAGTGAGCCCGAACGTAGGTGGTGTAAAGTTCTTTCCACAGTGAAAAACTACAGCCGTCCTAAGGATCAATTAGCGTTTATTGCAACTGACGTAACTTGAGTGTTAAGCTTAAAGTCTTTAGAAACTCGCAGATCTCTTTCTAAATTAGTAAGTGCAAGAGACAGTCTGATCCTGGCATATAGTAATCTCGTGTTGAAAATTTTTTCCTTTTTTTAATGTATTGTTTCTTTTAATTTTATTTTCTACGAATTTTTTTCTTACTAAACCTACACCTTTTTGTTACTTTGTTACAAAAAAATAAATTTCTAAATTTATTTCGTCCAAGTGTATATCTGCTTTTTGATTTCAGTTGGGGCATTGGGCTGCAAATTATTTAACACATTTTGGTGTTAACCGTTCTGTCGTCAGCAACTGAAGTTTGGTTGATTGTTATATTAAGCTTATTTTATTAGAAGATATTCATCAGGACTAAAACATCCTTTAAATTATTTTTTCGGTGAAATATCCAATTGTGTTCGTTGCTTTTCATTTTGCTATAACTAACTTTAGTTGTTGCTATTTTTATGAAATAAAGATGATTTTGACTTAAATGTTTTATGAAGTAAAGATGGTTCTGAATTTAATGTTTCATATAGCATGCGCCTTTGTTCATGTTTTGATTTGTCCGGGTACGCAACAGCAATTCTGGCATATATAATGCTTTACTTTTTTAAATTACGCATGAAAGCATTTATATATGCATAGAAACAGTCTACCACTATAGTTTTTCTGGGTAAAGATTCCACCTATTAACAAGCTTACTTTATATAATTAACTTTTGCAGTATTAATTAAACATAATTAAAAAAAAATTAACAAAATTAGGTGATTAAATTTGAATGTGGTTCGAAATTACTTTATATGCTGAATACAGGACGTGGTTAGCGTAAACTATGAAAAAACACTTTCTTATCGGCAAATATTTTTTAACTTTTCAACAATTACTTTTACTTTCAAAATTCTAAAGCATATTTTTACAATTCTGAAGAATATTTCTAAAATTCTAAAGCTCGAAAACTTTTGAGGAACTAAAAATTATATTGTCATTTTAAATCAGTAAGCATTACTTATTTAAAATGACAATAATTCGTGTTAAACGCATACGCATATTCAAAATAAGCATATAAACTAAAGTTAAATTAAAAAGAAATTCTATTAAAATATTCCACTACATCATTTACATAATATGAGAACAGCCAATCAAATATTTTCGTTACTGCTATGTGCATAAGAGAAAACTGATAATTAATATCAAAGAAGCCTAATAAATAAGAGAAATTTGAAAAAAAATTGTTACTATTTATTTGATCTTTAAAAATTTAAAAATTCTAAAATACCACTTAATTTCTCAAATTATTAGCGGTATAAAAAAAGTAGAAAA